GCCATCATCGTTTTTGAAGAAGTACGGACCAATGATTCCACCAGCCCAGAAAGCGCACCAAACAGTCAGTTTTTCTGGATGTAACGGTGTTTGGACATACACTTGGGGATTAGCTTCACTCCAAATGCGGCAGTTTTGTTTGTTGACGTAGCCATTCAACTAGAAGTGCGCTTCATCGCACCATATGATAAAATGAACGTAGTGCGCGATACGTACTCCGCACAGAACCATTATTTTCGAACACTATTTGCAAGCGTTGTTCAGGCGTGAGTCTATTCATGATGAATTGCCAAACTAAACTTAGATTAAATCACTTGACAGCTGTTAAATCGGTCGCCACCTTGAACAGTAATGCCAACTTAAAGTACTATACCTCGAAACAAACACCCTTTATATCTGTAATTTGGTACAGAAGATTATATAATATTAGAGAGGGGCATCTATGGTTAAAAACTTTTTCAAAACTGGGCGCGGTTACATAGAATAAGTATTTTTACACTTCCTTCGACAGTGTGATAATGGATTAAATCCGATGATAACTTCGCCCTCCTCCTATATAACGGTTTTGTTTAAAACTATTAAAACTGTGATAAATCAGTAACTGAATGCGTCAAAAAAATTTAATTTTACATCAGAGATGGCACAAGAAGATTTTGAAGGAACAACATTTTGGCGAAATCATATATCTCCGGAACTACTTGATCAGTTTTAAAAAAAATGTCGTACATAAAATTAATTTAAAAATCCAATCTTATAAAGAGAAAATAAGCGAAATCGGACTACAATTACCCCTAGTGCCGCACACCTTTCAAACAGCTTTTTCATATGTAATTCTCCATGTAAAATATGAAGTACTCGTTTGTCTGAGAAGACTATGTCATTAGCAATTTCACGCTTATTCAAACTTGGACCTTAACTAACAATATTATGAACTTGTTCAATGATTCCTGGTGTGGTTGCGGTTTTTGGTCGTCCTTCGCGTGGATCTTCTTCAAGTCTAGTACGATACCTTATACACTTCAAATAATTGTTCATAAATTTCCTTTGCTTTTAAACCTTTCAAAACAAAGAATCTAATCACTACGCGATACTCAATTTTTTTATATTAAAAAAACACTGTGACACGTCAACTTCAAATGGCTTGCAAACAAAGAATTAATTGGCAGAATGACGTATAGCTTGAATATTTCTTCCAAGCAGATGTACCAATTTAAAAAAAAGAATTGGGGCTAGTAGCGTTATTTCTTGGTTAGATGAACCCACTTTTTAACTAAACTGTATATATAACTATAGTTTAATGCCCAAAATATTCGAATTTAGTTTACGAATGTCCCAGCTCCCAAATACTACCTATATTGATCTTCGTTATTCTACCAAACCATATTCCTTATATTATTTATAAAATTGTTCGAAAATATGACCTCAAGTATACCTCAACAGTGTCAAAATTAATTCAATCAGCCCATCCCTTTCATTGTCTTCAACATAGCCTGTATAATAAATAATTGCCGACTGTCCACCTGACAGAATGTGTAATATTTTGATAAAATTAAATGTAGAAGTTTTCTTAAAAATTGTATCCTTGTATACCTAAAATAATGAATCTCGATCCTTTGGTTGACGTGTTTCACATCAACTCAATATATTAAATTTTGCCTTAAGTTTATATCCCATATATCTCATTTGAAGATGATTTTAGTACAATTTTTTCTGGCGCGAAGTTAAATATAGTAATAAAACTAAGTGAGTATATTACCTATAATATAACTTAATAAAATACAAAAGATTGTAATCCATTGACGATTTCGTCGAATAATAAATGTTGAGTTGTTTCGCAACATTTTTATACACTCGCAACCTGTTGCTACAGAGTGTAATAGTTTTGTTCACCTAACGGTTTCTTGTATCACCTAAAACTAATCGAGTTAGATACAGGGTTATATATATATAAATGATCAGGATGAAGAGACGAGTTGAAATCCGAGTGACTGTCTGTCCGTCTGTCCGTCCGTCCGTCCGTGCAAGCTGTAACTTGAGTAAAAATTGAGATATCTTTATGAAACTTGGTAAACATGTTTCTTGGTACCGTGAGACGGTTGGTATTGCAGATGGGCGTAATCGGACCATTGCCACGCCCACAAAACGCCATTAATCAAAAACAAATAAATTGCCATAAATAAGCTCCGCAATAAGATACAAGACTGTTATTTGTTACACAGGATCACATTAGGGAGGGGCATCTGCTGTTAAATTTTTTTTTTTAAAGTGGGCGTGGTCCCGCCTCGAATAGGTTTAATGTGCATATCTCCTAAACCGCTAATGCTATAATAACAAAATCACTGGAAGCAAATGTTTTTAGCACTTCTATTGACAGTGTGAAAATAGTTGAAATCGGGTGGCAACTCTGCCCACTCCCCATATAACGGTACTGTTAAAAACTACTAAAAGCGCGATAAATCAAGCACTAAACACGCCAGAGACATTAAATTTTATCTCTGGGATGGTATGAGATGACTTTATAGGAACCGCGTTCAAAATTAGGCAGTGGGCGTGGCACAGCCACAATGCTAATCTTGTGCCATTGCAAAGCACCGTAGTGTGTTCAAATTATGAAGCAAATAAACCGGAAATTCAACTCATGCCCAGCATATCCAATGAATGCAAAAAGTCAATTGGTTAAATCACATAAGATTTGTATGTCACCAAGTCCCGTGGCAACAACTGTTGTATCATTGAATTTAATCTATTGAAGCCCATAATTTTTGCTGCCAAAATCGTTCTTTCTGCCAGCCATTGAAGATTTTAATATTTTGTATGTACACTAGGAAATATAATGTCGATGAGAGTATTTTGTGAGTTGATGAATGTGCAGAAATTAGTCTGTAATTTTATGCATCCAGTATTTTCATTTACAGCTACTTTTCTATTGCCAAAATTTAACAGTTGTTTTGTGAAAGTTTCGACAGATGGCTCTTGAAATATATGAACGCGCATGTTGACTTTCAGTTGTAATTTTTCAACATAACGCCACAGTCGCGATGATTTTAAGCAAGCGTTGATATCATCAAATTAAGTTGAATGAGTTTGAAATCACGTGAAAGGAGTAACAAAGTGCCGCGAAATAGTATGCGGTCGTTAGTTAATTTTTGTGTATCATTTAGTAGTGGAAGTTGCGAGTAACAATCGCTGCCAATTCGAAATTGACATTGAATAGATCAGACGCACTCCGATTTGGTGAACTCATACCGAAATGGCTGATTGGCAAATTCTCAATGACATTGCGTCCCTGAATGATATCTTTAGATCGTTGCACCTTGTACGATGTCGATATAGTATATCATATCATGTATATGTACTAGGCTCTGGACACATGTCATAGTACTTAATTGTAGAGAAATTTATACGTTACATACTGTTGTCGATTTCTTTACGTATATTTTGAAATGACAATGGTCCGGTGACTTAGGCCAACAACAGGCGCAGATAAAAGCACTCACTCTGCCTTGGATTAACTGTATACACCGACCCAATTATTATAGCAAGATTTCGTTCAAGAAAAATACGCATTGGCCTATTTCGAGATGCAGAACTAAATGGATATCTGCTGAATCTTATTTATTAATTCGCAAACCGAAAATACACCCAGCAGCTTCATTGTTGTTAAACCGGCCAATTTGGTAAGTTATTATTTTTATTTTCGTTTTCATTTATTGGAAGGGCCTTAACAATAATATTTTCAATACTCAATTCACTTATTATATTCGTATACTTGCAAATATATTTGATGCTCTTCATTGAACTCCAGAAGATTTACAAATTTAATATTCCTTTTCTTGTTCTTATTAAACAATAACTTGAAAATTTCATTGTTTCGCCTAACTTACTATTTTAACCAACTTACTATCCAAGCAATTACTATTTTCCTGCTTTTTAACTAAATTATAAACAGTTTTCCTTGAAATTTTGTATTGAAACCAAAACTGAAACGCCACGTTTAAACTTGGTAACAATCTTCTCATTTTATTTATAATTTTTAAAACTGCTCTGACTCAAACCAAATTAACGAATAAATACTAATTCACATTGTGTAAATACTTTTGAAGCACTAAAAATGTATACTTGAAGCTTCCGGTGCGTTTGAGCTACGTAATAATTGCAGCAGTACACCAACGGTGGCAAACCCCATCTAAAGGACAATGGACTCATAGACTGATTCCGGACATTCATTCGTGGATAGACAGACAACATGAGGACCTGAATTTCCACCTAACCTAAATAATGAGTGGGTATGGATGCTTTAGAAAGTATCTATTCCAAATAAATCATGATGTTAGTCCGTATTGTCCGACGTATACAGAGTACACAGAAGGCTCTGAACAGTGCCCCCGCTTTTTAAATATTAGGGAAAAGTTAAAATCTACTCTCGGCGGTAGTGTAACGGTGGAAACTCTGACCACACATACATATGTGTCAGTCTTCTGATAAATGGAAAGCTGTCAGCGAAGCGGCTGCTCTAATTATAACAAAACTGAGATACTTGCAACAGATTAGGAGTCAGTCAGTCTGTGCCGTAGAGGAGACTTAAATGTCCTTTTCTCTCCCATGAAGTAACACTTTATCCGGTGGTTCCGTGAGAGAGATATGAGATTGGAGTAGGTTAGGTTTAGCGGATTAAAGTTCCGCACTTCGGCTTTCGATGCTTCCCGCTACTATAAAAAAAGTACAGCTACTCTGTTGCATATTTGCTGATACTCTGCAGATATGCAGAAAAAATTTAGTGTTGCCGATTATTTGCATAAATTGCGTGCAAAAAGTGACAGTAGAACGTAATGCTGTTGTAAGTGTTGCCAAAAATTCACGCAGAACGTGATACTTTGATAAATTTACAATACTGGTGTCGTGATTGCCATTTCGAACGCACCCTTCGTTAGGCTGAGCCAAGTAAGTTTTAACATATTCCCGTTACAAATTTTTATTGTCACATATATTTTGAATATAAATTGTAATAAATTGGAAATAAAATATGAATTAAAATAATTCTAATTTTAAGTTTCATCAATTGGAATTCAGTTTTTCTGAGCAATGGAATCAAAAAGAGAGCTAGTAAAAAAGTTGCATTTGCAAGGAAAAGCAGTGAAATTGTTAAGATCCTCCAGAGCCTTGATATTAACCGCAGATCCGTTCAACGTACTGTGGCTCAATTTAAGAAAATAGTTGCAGTTACACGGTCAGAACTTCAAGTCGGATGAAGATTGCACGTGAGCGAATAAGGAAAAAACTTTGCAGTTTCTGGAAGGAAACTGGCTAAGGACCTCAGCGTGAGCCGAAAAACCATCAGAAACATTATTATTAAAAATTTGGGTATGAAGGCTTATAAGAAAAAATGAATTCACGGTCTAACGGAACATCAAAGACAAATGAGAAGAGAAAGAAGGAATTTGCTTCTTCAGCGGCACGCAAATTGTGAGGTTGTATTATATTATTGAAATGTATCAGAACACAACCTCTGTTATGGTTTGGAGGCCCCATCTGCAAAAGAAAAACTTCCTCTCCGTTTCATTGACAAAGGCGTAAAAATTAACGCCAAATATTATTTGGAGGAAGTGCACTTCTCTATTCATGTTTGGTAATAATCCATCCTGCTTTCAACAAGATTCTGCCTCGGCTCATAAATCAAGAATTTTTCAGAAGTGGTGCTAAGACAATATACTCAGTTTCATGTCATGAATGGCCCCCTTTTTCCCCGGAATTGGATCATTTGTTTATGGGGATATATGATGGGGAAATTAACAAATGTAGAAAACGTAAAACCGGACCAGTTTAAGCGCCGTTTGAAATGAATTTGGGACGAAATTCCAAAAGAAGTTGTGCATGCCGCTAAAACCGTGTGAAGCTTTTAAAACCAATGAATTTTAATAAAGCAGGTCTATAGTTTAACTAATAAATAAAACAAGTTTTCATCCCAACTTTAATGTACATTTGTTATGTGGTTATTGAATGCTTTACTCAGCAGAGATGAATATGGTACCACGCAACGATCGTCAATGTCAATGTCTGCGAAATCGAAATTTTTAGCACTAAGAGTTATGTTAATTTCACTACAAGAATAAAATTAACTTGACAGTTGCGCTGAAAACTTGACGTTCGTATCATTGTACAACAGTCACTGCTACGATCAAGACACAAATAAGGCCAAAGACAACATGGACAAAAACTGTATAGAGAGTGAGAAAAAGAAATCCGGTAACAGAAGACACCTGGCGGGGATAACTGATTGATTGATAGAACTGTACATAACAAGTAAGGAAGGGCTAAGTTCGAGTGAAACCGAACATTTTTTACTTTTGCAGCTTGCTAAAATCAAAGCCCGGAAAATTCCTTCAGGCGCTGGCAAAACTTTATATTAAATAGGTAAGGAAGGTCTGAGTTCGGGTGTAACTGAACATTTTATACTCTTCCAAGGTAAAGTGATATACGAGATTTTGGTATAAATTTTAATAAAAAGTAGGAATTATTGCATCCATGGTTTACAATCACAGGCTAGAGGATACACTATTATTAGAAAGAGAATCTTTCAGAATTTAAATAAGAATTCTTACATGTTGACCGATAGATCCCGTAGAAAGTCAACCGGAAGTTCGAAAATATTTGTATAAAGTATATGGGAACTAAGGGAAGTACTAACCAGATATTATTTTTGGCACTAAGGCATGCTGTTATCACAAAAATATTTCAATACTATAACTCACGGACTGACCGATGTGTTCGTGTTAAAAAATCAGCTATATGCTATGAAAAGTTATAGGTCGACCATTTTTGGGCGTAAGATTAAATACCGTATGGATTTATACTCTAATAACTTCCTTGATGTTTGATTTGTACAATGTAAAGGGAAAGAATTAGATGGAATTTAAAAGTTTGTTATATAAGAAGCAGATGTGGTTATATAATTGGGTAACCTGACACACCATATTTGATTAAAATTGTTCTGTAAAAACAGAAGTATTTAAGTAGTTCCTGAGATATATGGTTTTTCCTAAAGTTGGACGGTGCCTACCCTCTAGTCCAATTTTTACACCTGCTCCTAAAAATCCTTCCCTACCATCTTCACTATGAAATTTAATGCTTCTGGCGCACTCATTCTCTGATTTATCGCACTTTTAATAGTTTTCAACAAAACCGTTTTATGGGAAGTGAGCGTGGTTATTATCTGATTTTACCCATTTTCACAGCGTATGAAAAAGTGCCAAGAAGGTTCTCAACAAGTTTGGTTGATTTAGCTTCAGCGGTTTGATAGATATGTATATTAACATTAAACCATTAAGAGTGCGGGGCCACACTTTTAAACGTTTTTTGACTAAATGCAGCTTTCGCTACTAAATTATTCTGTGCCAAATCATAGTTTTGTATCATAATTTTGTGCTTAGTGTTCAAAAGGGTGCCCAATTCATTGGGAAGCACACCACTTTACTGAATCTTTAGTGGATATCACGGTACCTAAGCCTTAACACCACATTCACTACTTGCACTAGTGTTTAAAATTAAAACGCACGGGTAATTTGTTTGTAAATTTATGACTTATTGTTGAATGCATTTCTTACAATTGTGTACAATAAATTATATTTGGAAAACGATTCGCTAATCGTAATCCCGTACGGTGTCCACTGGAATCAGGAACCGAATTCAAGCCAAATATATTATTTATAGCGCGAAGGATCGCTGACGAAAAAAGCAGCGCGCGAGATCAGTCGTAATCGAACGTTGACTTGGTGCTCAGGCCTGTTGACGAAACGAAGGTGTTTTTGCGAATTAATGTGTGGGCGATGATCCCGTCCTTTTTGTTAGGTGTACAGGTGCCGTGTTATGGTGTGTTGTGTTGTCCTGTGTGGCGTGGTTTCATCGGGTGAGGCTTAACTCATTTAAACATCCTGGGCCCCTAGGCGAATATTATATTTTGCCTAGTATTACACATTTTGGCGGTAAATGTTGACAGTATTTCAGCTTGCTGCTGGTAGAGTACCATAGGTATTGATGCGTGATGTAAGCAACTTTATTTCGCGTGTTTATTTGATTTACTATTTTAATTACTTGTTATTACAGTAACAGTATATGCGTGTTTGTGTTTATTATTTTAATTGGAGGTAATTTTAAATTTATTTATTATGCTTTGGTAACCATAGCAACTCCACGCCTGGCTCAGACATAGCCAGAATGGGTGCTCCTTTAAAAAACATACCCGAGGACTAAGGCTGTGAAATCGGAGGGATCTTGCGATATTACAATGTTTGGCCACGAATTAAGAACGGTTTCATTTCGAGTTAGTAATATGGTAAATTCGTCATAGTTTGATTTGTAAGCTACTTTTTTTGACGTGGGATTTGAAGTGGAGTATAGTGATCCCTTAACTTTATGTTTTAATTGTTATAAACATAATTATGAACAAGTAAGGAAGGCCTAAGTTCGGATGTAACCGAACATTTTATACTCTCGCAAAGTCAAATGATATACTCGTTTGAGATTTCTTTGTGGATTGACTGATATTTTCGGTAGAAGGTCAACTATAGGCACTGGGGTCCACATAGTTAGTACTTAGGGGTTTGAACAGTTTTGGTTCGATTTAGACAATTTTTGGCCGCAAGGTGGCATACTTTAATTGCATTATTCACGCAAAGTTTTACCCCGATATAATCATTGTTACCTGATTTGCATAGTGGAAAGTGAAAGAATCAGATGGAATTGAAAATGGTGTTACATGAGAAGTAAGCGTGGTTGTAGTCCGATTTCGCCCATTTTCGCACTATGACATAGAAACATGAAAAGAACGTTATGCACCGAATTTAGTTTAAATCGGTTTAGCAGATCCCAAGATATGGGGTTTCTCCTAAAAGTGGGCTGTGCCACGCCCACTGTCTAATTTTGAACGCGGTTTCTATAAAGCCAATTTATACCATCTCAGAGGTAAAATTTAATGTTTTTGGCGTGTTTAGTGCTTGATTTATCGCGCTTTTAGTAGTTTTTAACTGTACCGTTATATGGGGAGTGGGCGGAGTTACCACCCGATTTCAACTATTTTCACACCGTCAATAGAAATGCTAAAAACATTTGCTTCTAGTGAATTTTGTTATTATAGCATTAGCGGTTTAGGAGATATGCACATTAAACCTATTAGAGGCGGGACCACGCCCACTTTTTAAAAAAAGTTTTAACTGCAGATGCCCCTCCCTAATGTGATCCTGTGTACCAAATAACAGTCTTGTATCTTATTGCGGAGCTTAGTTATGGCAAGTTATTTGTGTTTGATTAATGGCGTTTTGTGGGCGTGGCAGTGGTCCGATTACGCCCATCTGCAACACCAACCGTCTCACGGTACCAAGAAACATGTCTACCAAGTTTCATAAAGATATTTCAATTTTTACTCAAGTTAGAGCTTGCACGGACGGACGGACGGACAGACAGTCACCCGGATTTCAACTCGTCTCTTCATCCTGATCATTTATATACATATAACCCTATATCTAACTCGATTAGTTTTAGGTGATACAAACAACCGTTAGGTGAACAAAACTATTATACTCTGTAGCAACAGGTTGCAAGAGTATAAAAAGAGAGGTGTCGATAATTCGGCTTTCTTCGTACAATTTTATTATATGTTATGTTAAGTGCATATGCACTAATTCGGCAAGTAGTAGCGCGCCATATAGCTCAAGTTTATTGAATCAGATATTTGTGTCTTTAAAACTGATATTGTCAGAAGAAACTTTGACTTTATTTTTTCTGCCAATTCATGGAGTGTTGGAACATTGTGAGTTTAGTGGTAGGTGTACGACGTAGTTGTGGCTTTGTAGAAGTCTTCACAGTACTGATCTTCTTGGATTGTAACTGATATCGGGAAGAGTTCTTTTACTCCCAACATTTACTGAATTGTGATTCAATGTTGTGTTCTTTTGAATTTTAGTCAACTTGAATTGTTAATGTGGAAACTGGTTCTGTAACTAGTTCACTTAGAATCCAACCAAACATAATGTTTTGCCTAGAAGGGTGGTTTAAATTTTTTCAACACCTTCAAGTGCTATTTGCGGTATAAGATCGCTGCCTATTAGAATATCTATTTGAGCG